GTCTGGCTCTAATTCCTGGAGATACTAGGTTGAAAGGGTCGTATTTGTTTGTTATAAAGACAGTAATTCGTCATGAATGTTACAAACGGTGGACATGGTGTTAGCTTGTCGTATAGGCCGTAGTTGAAACTCATGATAGTTGTTGGTTGTATGGGCCACAAATGGTTGCCTCGGAAGCATTGATTGAGCACATAAGATGTAGTAGGAAACTGTGTTAATTGTGAGTCATGTAAGTCTTAGTTGTTCACATAGACCATTGTGGACAGTTGTGATAATATTGGTAGTTGTAGAGACTAGGTGTTGGGAGTTGTGTGTGTTGTTGCACTGTATCCAGTGTGCATTATTACACAATCTTCGTAAAGTGACATTACAAAATATTCGGGGTGCATTGTTACACCATCTTCGGGAGGTGTCATTGCACTATATGTAGGGGTTTTGTTGCACAATTATCGAGGTGTGTCTTTGCACTTGTCTGATGACTATTAGTTAGTTTTTCACCTATAAGAATGACTATTATTACAAATTTTAGTAGTAATGAGGGCTTTTCGTATTCTTCTTCCTCTTGTCATTGTTTGCCCTACTTTATTGATGACTTTTGGGAGTAGTTTAGAGGGATATGAATTTCAAATCTTATTTTTTCATAATTAAAACTTATATTTTCTTGAGCACTTTAGATGTATAATGAGAAGATTTCTTGAAAATGATTTATTATCAGTGATAATCTGTTGTGATTTATCTTGAATGGGAAAGATGTAGAGAGAAGAACAGCCCAAAAAAATTGTTATCATTGGAACATTGGAGAACTCATCGGCTATTGTAAGAAGTTGATTAGATATCTCTTGGGTATCACTGTCACTATGGCCATTTTGATTTTGCTATGCAAATAGTTATATATTTAGAGGAGCTAGCTAACTTGGAGAAAGCCTAAAAAAAGTCATACATAAAAATGACTACTTTAGGAAGGATCTAGTAGTTTTGATGATGGCTTCTTTTAAATTAGAACATTACTCTTTAGGTAATTTATAATATGACTATGAAAAACTTCTTATACCCAAATATTTGACATTGATTATTTTTTTTTTTCTAAATTATCATTTTTTGATTAAAATAGTATTACTTAAAGCTAATTCAATTTGAGAAAGAAAATTGATAAGCTGCATCTACCTCCACCAATAATCTAGTAGCAAATGATCTAAAGAGAATCATTGTAAGAGCACTTATATGTAGAGTTTTAATAAATAATAATATCAAACATTTTTTCAAATAGGTGGATCATAAGATAAGAAAAAGATATCTGACTTGAATATTTTTGTAAGAGAACAAAATCTTGCAACTAACTCCTAATCTTCATGAAAAATCTCAATATGCAATGCTTTGTACACAAATACAGTAAAATATTTGCTCACACTTTCATAATTTAGATAGATATTTTTTTGTGTTAATAAAAAAAGTTTGGTGGATTATTCCTAAGAGCAGATAACTTTTACAGAATCATTAGTTACATGCAATGGAGGATTAACGTCTAAGAATTTACAAACATGAGAAAATTGAGAGGGGTTGTTGATTTAATTTATTACATTAAATTGGCACCAAGAGTTTAGACATACAAAATAATTATTGTGAGGCATGAATAAACATTTGATCTTGTGGCCAACTTAACTAAATAAGAATATAATAAGTTTGTTTTTAAAAAAAATCTCATCTAACACCTAACTCCTTGAAATAGGTTGCTAATATGTGAAATAAGATTCTTATTGTTCTTGAGATGTAGTTGGGTTATATATTTAGCTTAGTAACACTATATAGAATGTGTTGGGCACTTTGTAGATACTCTTATCAAAATTTTTATGAAGCCACAAATCTCATTTATTTTCATGAAAAATGCACTTAGGCCAAATTATATATATATATATATATATATGAAAATCAGTTTACTGCTCAAATTGACATTTTCTTTTCTCATGTTTGGCAACAAATTTGATTTGACACTCAAAATTGATTGTTGTTAATTACTTCTATGATTTGCTGCAGTAGAGAAAAAGAAATATTTAATGTGTTTCATTAATTATTTGATTAATTTCTTAATGAGCCTAATGACATGATAAAATTAATAAATAGATATGCTAGCTCCCATTGTAATCTCTCTCGAGATTTGGTTTCCCAGACATCTCTCTTCGGCATTGGTAGCTTTCGAGACACTTCTTCTGGCATGCTTCAGTTTGAAGATCTCGGGTAGAGAGAGAGAGAAGGAGAGAAGAGAGAAGAGAGAGTGAGAGAGATTGTTTTTTCTTGTAATCGTTGAAGTGATCGATGGGTGTAATTCCTCAAGCTAATAAAATCATCTCCAGCTCCGTGGACGTAGGCAGTCTGCCGAACCACATAAAATCTGTGTGTTTCCATTGTGTTTTATTTTACGATTTTTCTCAATCCAATTTTTCACTTTATAGCCGATCGTTTTTCACTATATATATAAACCTAAACAAAGCTGTAACACCAGAAAACTGGAATAAAAAACACCATCATCATCGCCGAGAAATATGGATGTACAGCTCCTATCTTCTACTCCCATTTTCAGAAAAAAAAAAAAAAAAAACTAAAAAAATAGGATTTTAAAAGGTTTTTGTTCTCTTAAACATCTCCATGGAGAGTAAGAGACAAAAGAAGTTGCCCTAAACAAAACCTCCACTACCAAAAAAATACATGTTAGGTGTCGGGGTCCAAGCAAACTAATACGCTCAATGAACAAAATCTATTCATATAAAATCTGTTCATGTTCTTCCATTTACACCACAAGGCCTTGCCTTCAATTAAATACTCCTCGGTTCTAAGATAATTTTGTAGGGTTCAAGATCTGCCAACATATGATGCGAAGGAATTCTATTGACTCCCACGTCCAGTTCAAATTTATAATCAGCCATGTGCCCACTTTAGAGTAATTAAACCTTGTGGGATAACTTATTCTAAGAATAATGGCTGTGTCTGGAAAATTGAAGAGTCTGGAAGCATACTTCCTTATCCCTCATATTAATGAATATACTTAGCTCTTAATTGTGTCATAAAATACTTGGTTAAATATGGTTTAATTTGTTTTATAATTTGTTCTATATTATTATGAAATATATATATATATATATTAAAGATAAAGATAACTTTAATTTCTTATAATTCCTTGAGTGAGTTATTTAATTGATATTAGAAGGATATAATATATTCTAATTTTATTTGTAAGAAATATTTTATGTTAAAAGATATAAAAGAAATAGCTTATTGGGTTGATTAAAAATACCATAACAATTTTATGAATAAATTTATTATTATTGAAAATATTTGTTTCAATTATTAGTATCTTAGATATAATAAAATCGAGTCTGTAACATAAAAATTGAATTTGCTAAAAAATATATTTAATAAATTTAACTAAAATCATTTTACTTTTTCAAAAAAGTTGAGCCTAAAAAGCAATATGTGCATTTCAAATCCCGGGCCTCACGATGACAAACTATACTTAAAACCATTATGTCGTGGGTAAGTGCACACTGACCGGTCATTTGTTATTACCCTTTTGATGCTCCATGAATTTATTCTCCCCCTATATAAACTATGGAATGAAAATTGAGTCAAAAAATTGATCACAACTTATTCTGAAAATGCTCTGATATATAGTAAATTTGTTGAAAATAAAATAATTACTTTCAGGTTGTGGAGTTTGAACCCTGATCCTCCCTACTAAAAAGCTTACTATGAAGAACATGTGAAGCAAATGCATGATTGTTTGTGTATGTATACATCCATACTATATATATATATATATATGTGGATGACCCCTCAGGTCGAGGATTTGAATCCCGTCTGACACTCTAACAACATGAGCCTTAAGGAGGTGGTACTAGAATTGTTAGGCATATTAAAAGTGACTGGAGGCTCGTATAATAACCTTTGGTGATTTCTTTTAATATATATATGCATCTGTGTGTTCCGTGGTCTGTTGGTATAACAGCCTCTTTGAAGGTCTTAAGTTTCCCCTCGAGTGTAGGGTGTGGTACTCGAATTATTTGCACGCTGCATCGGCCCCTAAACCTAGCAAGGGTTAGCGCAAAGGTGCTGATCGACGGTTCCGCCCATCGATCAATCTTAAATTATACACTTTTAAAATTTTAATTTATAAAATAAAAAACCTTATAAAATAACTTAAAAATTATTTTATTCTTGTATACGAAGGCTCAGGGAGAAATACTACACAAATCAAATTTCGTCTAAATTAATTAAAAAAAAAAAAGTATATATTCAAATTAAGTGATCCCAATTCATAAAAATCCATATTTGTCTTGTGTGTTCTTTAATATTTGTACTTTTTATATGCATATAATAATACACAACCCACAAAAATAAATTGAATGGGCAAAAGCATCAACTTTCGATGTATTTTGGCCAAATGGGTTGGGGAAGCATTTCTTAAACTCAATACCCTCAGAAATATTTAGTTAAATATAACTCAATGCATGTGGCTAGTACTTTATTTTATTTAATATGCTCTGAAATTCATATTGAACAATAATAACTGCATTTACATAAATACCCCACAATTTTTATATATTTACATATATTTTGGTACATGCCACTTAAATCTTTAACATACCTTTAAAAATTTCATTATTATGTATTTTTCAACAATTGCACATAAATTTATAACACCAAAACATTATAAATATAAATATGAAAATTTTAAATATAAGATATGCAAATTTTCCTATTTTTTTAAGCATGAAAGATCAAATTAAAAAATTAAAACATTTCTACAACATAAATTAAATAGTAACTTACAAATATATGAAAATATAAGTGTGAAACTTACTGATTAAAGGTAGGTTACAAGGAGGTTACAAGAATATAACGCAGATATAACCTCCAATACCCTGCTTGTAGCTTACCTTGGCGTGTACGCAAATATTTCTCCAATCAATGAATTCCATCCCTCCTCCCCTTCTCTTCCCCATTGTTGCATTTTAAGTCCACATGGTATAAAAAAGTCAGCGTCATGTATATAAAAAACCCCTATCTTTCTCTCTCTCTCTCCTCGCTCTCAAACCTTGCTCAGCTTCTCTCTTAAAACCTTCTTCTTTCCATGGTTGCAGAGATCAGAAAGGCAGCAAAAGAAGAAGAGCAAATACTTCAATTCCATAACCTAAAACCGAGAAGAAGAGATGTTCTAAACAAAGCCCATACTTTCTTACTCTGATCATATCAGTACTGATTAAGCAAGATCATGTGCGACTACTTCTACCAAAGGATGGAGAACAGCCAAGGAGACCTCACCGACATCATCCGAAGCCACAGCCTCATGAACCCAACACATCCAACCAACGATTCATCCGCCGCCGCTAACCGCTGGCAGTTTCTGCACGAGCAAGCTCCCGAATTCCAGCGGTTAGATGACAGAGTACTTGGAGCCGGCCCACTACTCCATGAAACGAGCTTCTTCGATTCGTCAGAGAACAGTGCAAGTGGAAGTTTGTTCTCAAGGATGCCTCAAATTTCTCTGGGGAAAGGAAAGGGGTCGCCGGCGATCGGAGCTCCGTCGGTTTTATCGGTCGGTGGAGGAGGTGGAGGTGGTGGTGGTGCAGCGGAGATCTCATCGACGAGATTAATGGCTGCAGGGACTAAGAGAAGGTGGGACAAAGCAAGTAGCTATTTTGTTATTAGTCTTATCTTAATTTGGTAGGATTTGCACTGTATGGTATGAAATCCTATTTTTTGAGTAACTCAATAGGATGGAATTGAATTTCTGATTTTGCTTTTTATTTGAATTGAAACGTTTGAAGTATGGATTGAAGTGATTTGGTTAGAAAGTAGAAAATATGTGGTGAAATTGCTTTGGAAGTGGATTTTGATGGAGCTTATCATGTGATGAAAAACTATTACTTATTTTCATATATGGGTCACAAATTATAGCTGATACAGAGATTAGGAAAGAAGGCAACTTTTGCTGAACTTCTATTCATATACAAGATCTGCAACCATTCATGGTAGAAATATGAAAAATTCGGGGATCTTTATAATTTCTTGTTTGTTTGGGGGGGTGGGAAATAAAAATTTGCTGAGTTGAAATGTAATTGCAGGAAAAGTCAAGCAAAGAAGGTGGTTTGCATCCCAGCTCCAGCAGCTGCAAGTGGTAGGCCAAGTGGAGAGGTTGTTCCTTCTGATCTATGGGCTTGGAGGAAATATGGACAGAAACCAATCAAAGGATCTCCATACCCTAGGTAATTATTCATCTTTTTTAATCAAATACTTTTTTTTTTTTTTGGCAGCTCATATCTTTCTTGCCGAGAGAACTGAAAAATTTTAATTTTTATTAGTTTCTTCGACTCTATGTGTAGTTTATATGATTAGGATGCCATATAATTAGGGTGGAGGCACATGACTGCTAAAGTTTATTAGATAAGAATAGAGATGGAATCTAATGAAGAGGGAACATCTCTCTCTCTCTCTCTCTCTCTCTCTCTCTCTCTTCCCGACTTTAATTATCGATCAACTATATGCTCTCTCTTCTCTCTCTCTCTAGTGTTGAAGATATTAACTAATTAATGAGACTTTGAAGTATGCCATGAAGTGTTGTGGTATATAGAACGATCGACGAGGAAAGCTAAAAGCAGGTCGAGAAAATTCGTAAAATGAAAATAGAAGACATAGCGGAACATACAAATTTACGTGGTTCACATTCAGGAGGTCTTGGCCAACAAAAGCTTCGTTTTTTTTAATTAAGATCTACTGAGTAAATTCGGCTGCCAATCTTCTGCTTAGAACACGGAACTCAAATGCATGGTTTGTGAAAATCTTTAAGTAGCCTTTGCTAAACCTAACGAACACCATTTTTTTTTTATAGATAGACAGAAGGCTGAAGTGTTTGGTAGGCCCCAAACGTTTGTACATATTTAGTTTAGAACTGATGTTTCTTATATTCGCATGTAGGGCTACATGTTGCCAATAAACTAATTATCATGCTGCAATTGTTAGGAATTTTAAACATAATAAAAATTTAATTAAAAAAGAAGGTTTCTCGCTTACTATTTGAGTATGATAAGCCTTAATAATGTAGATGATAACTACTATTATTTCAATAAATTTTTTATAATGCATGTTTAGTATAATGAGAGCGCAATTTAAGAGGATATGGTCGGCTTAAAACATGTTGATAGACACCATCCAGTCCACGAATATTCCTAGCCAATGAGTTTTTGTTTCTTCTCTTTTATTTAATGGCAATTTAAGAGTAAAATTAGTGGTATTAAGCCATGAAATTAAGCAGATTCTACAAGCTGCCTCTGTCATACAACCTAGAGAAAGATGATGTGTGTGTTAGATTGAGCGAGGGTAAAGATCTTTGTTCATGGTTAAACAATGTTTGATGCAATGCTCGTTGAGTTTCATGTACTGTTGAAATAAAATAAAATGATTAATAAAGAAGGCTGAAAACTTTGAAATTAAAAAAAAAAATGAATCAAATGAAAAAATATAGTTCTTTTTTTTTATAATTAAGTAAGCTTGAGTAGTAGAAAATTCTTAGCAACAAAGCACTCGTTTATTTACTTAGTAAAACTTTCGAGAGCACAGCGATAAAGTTGTTAGAGACACTCATATTTTTTACTTGTAAAACCCTGTCTGAAAAGGGAAAAAAATCATGACGCCCGGCCATGTCAAAATAATCTACTAGAAATTTGAAAGTACAATGTGATTACAAAAAACTGTCAATCACTACTTTATAATAATAATTTTATTATAACATTCGTAATTGAGCTAAAAAAAATTTAGTCGGTGGCTATAACGATCGTAGTTGGCTACATGAACTTTAGTTGATGGATATAACTGTCGTAGCAGGCTCAGTAAATTGTTGGTGGTGGCTGATAACAACTGGTTGTCATATACCCGCTTCTCTTCAGAAGAATGCTTCAGCTGTCAGCTCACTATTTTCTTCTCTTTCTTCATCCTCTCAAGTAAAGAATGAGATTCTATTCATAATTTTTTTAGAGAGATGTTTTGATAAAGTTCATTAGTATCTTGAAATACTATATCGGATCGTCTCTATTCTTTTGATCACAGGATATTTTTTTAATAATTAAGTTTCTTAATAATCTCAGAATTAAATGATCTTTGATTCATTGAATTTTTCTTGTCGAGCCGCTTGATTTGATTATAAGAATGCCAATTTTATTTTTGTTTAACCTGCTAATTGATGCACCAAAAATCTTCGACAATGCCTTAAATAATGCTAAATTTTAGGCTTATTTGAACTTAGATTGGACCACTTTTAGCATTATTAGGTTCATCTTGTCAATTCGCTCAATTTGAATATAACTTATTGAAGTTGGGGAATGATTTTGAATTCAAATGTAAAATTTTTCTTGCTCAAGATGAATCGAGATTTATGTCTGATGATAAACTTTTTTTTTATGATATATCAAATCTATATGCTTATTTATTTCGATACTCATTTGCAATAATATTTCAGAGGGGTATTACAGATGTAGTAGCTCAAAAGGATACTCACTAAGAAAGAAGTGGAAAGAAATCAAACAAATCCGAACATACTGGTCATCACCTACAAATCGAGCTACTCAATTTGATTAGAAGCATGCCAAATTTTAATATTATTTAACCTTCTAATTGATGCACTAAAATTTTTTACAATACCTTAATAACTATTACATTTAGGCTCATTTGAACTCATATTGGACTATTTTTAGCATCATTAGTTTCATCTTGCTAAGTCGCTAATTTGACTATACCTTATTAAAGTTGGGGCTTGATCTTGAACTTAAATATGAAATTTTTCTTGCTCAAAATATATAAAGATTTGTATGATAAAAATTTCTTGATGACACATCAAAGCTATATGTTAATTTATTTTGATTCTTATTCGCAATATTTTTTCAGAGGGTATTACAGATGTAGTAGCTCAAAAGGATGCTCGGCGAGGAAACAAGTGGAAAGAAGCCGAACAGATCCAAACATGTTGGTCATCACCTACACCTCAGAGCACAACCATCCATGGCCAACTCAAAGAAATGCTCTAGCTGGATCCACAAGATCTCAGCCTTCAAAAACCAATAATTCTTCTTCAACCTCCAAAAACTCTCCTCATCACAACAACCATAAGCAATATACAACCATCAAGGAAGAACCCAAAGAGTGTTCGAGCTCAAACGCACCATTACAAGTAAAAGAAGAAGCACACGATGAAATGGAAAAAACATTGATTGACCACCAAGATCACCATGATTTCAACAGCGTGTTCGATGAGAGCTTCAATGAACACATGATGTCAAATTTGAATCAGCCCGACAACTTTTTCGCAGACTTGGAGGAGCTTGATCCTGATCCAATGAACCTTATCTTCCCTAAGGGATTCATGGGATATAAATTAGATGAGGAGAGGAATAACAACAATAACAATAAGGCAGTGGATCCTTTCAATATGCTTGATTGGGGAGAAGGAAACATGTTTGGAGAAAGCAAGAGAGGTTTATAACAAGACCTTGGAACAAACACCTTTTTTTATGTAAGGTTATAGATTTGTTTAAGGTCTGTCTATAAACCTTTTGCATATATATTTTCAAACAATGCTACTTATATCGATAAAATTGATATATTTTTCCAAATAGTTTGTTGTGTATGTTAGAAGAGTATTGTGGAGTACCATTTCATCATCATAGTAATGAAGATGATGTTATAATAACTAATGAGCTATAAGGAAAGACATTTGAGGAGCATCAGAAAGTGGCGTAACACAATATGTTATATGTTGTGCAAGATTTAGGGTTTAAATTTTAGGGTTTTTTTTATAGGAGTAGCTCTTTATAGCTGGAAACTCTTATAAAAAAAGTGCAGATCTTCGCCATTTAAGGTCTGTTTGGGGGCAGTTGTAGCTTATTGAATAATCTGCTGATAAGCTGATTAAAAATAATCTGTTGAACAGAAGCTAATTAGGTTCGACTTTTTTTTATTATTTGTTGCTGATTTATAATATTCCTTTAATATTGCAACCATAAGAATTTTATGCAGATATTTTTGGTAATGTAGTGGTTAATTTGTCGCTTGTGCAGGTCTTGAATGTCAATTTTGAACAAGTAAATTAAAAATTCATGTGCAGAAACTCAAATTTTTTCTCCATCTATTTGACATGGAATAATTAATGTTATTATTTAAACATTTTTTTCAAAGGAAATAGCGTTCTGAATACGATATCAAGCCAACATCTTAACCATGATGATTTAGAATTATATATATTACAAATATTATACAACAAAGTGTAATTATAAAATATTTTAATCACTACATAAAACTGCGCACGTGCGACATATTTATTTGGTGCGGTTGCATTTTGAAAACGCATCTAAACTGTTTGGGTAAACTGAATTTTGAAAACGCTGAAAATAGCGTTTTCACACCGCACCTACGTAGGTGCGGTGACAGCTTTCTGACAGCGGTCTGACTTCTTCAAAAACATAAAAATTTGTAATAGTCACTGCACCTAGCTTATCAGCAGATTATTCAATAAGCTGCAGCTGCCCTAAACAAAAAGCAGGTGAAAAAAACTCTGCCGACATTTGTCGTAAAAATTTCGCAGAAAAAATCATTGGAAAATGCTAAAACCATAACCATGCACGTTATTGTCATTTCATTGTTCTTCTAACACGCAATAAAAAATTGCAACAATTAAGATATGTGTCTGCAAAAACTTACGTAACAGATCTATGTGGTTCATTGGAAGTAAACATATCTCTAAAATTATAAATTTAAATGACATATTTAAAACTATTTCTTATCCATCTGACATATCAATTATATCGAGTGATTGGGCTTCTGTAAACCTTGGAATATTTACCACTTTGGTGAATTCAAGCACATTTAATATAAAAATAGAACCTTGTGACTATGACAAGCGACCTTTTCCTCGTACCACTTTGCAAAGTGTCAACTTGTTCCCATTTAGGCTCTTATAGTAAGCAGATTCAACATAGAATTACATAATGGAGTGCATGGTTAAAAAATGGATATGTTCATTTTTTTTCTTATATAGTAATGTTACAGATAAAAACAGCCATTTTAGAACAGAAAAAATGATTCTGCCATCAATATGATCGAAATAAATTTATCAAATTAGTTTAAATGACCATTATATACGTGCGGTGCACATATATATATAGAGCCCAGATGTATATATATATGTGTATGTGCACCGCAAGTAACATTTCTTCTAAGAATAAAAATTGTATGAAGTTTTCTTTTTAGGCGCATTTGGACTGTCGTCCGCATATACGTGTATCGCACACAATATTTCTTCCAAGAGTTAAAATGAGTACGAAAATTTTCTTTTTTAGTCGCATCTGGATCGTCCTCTGCATATATATGCATCACACACAATTGTTCTTCGTTCTTCCAAGAGTAGACATTAGACATGCACCCCTGTTTTTCATTCATGTACATGATATATACATGTCATTAAAATATGTAAAATTTAGCAACTGCTTAGCATTTTTTATTAGGTCACTTTACTTCACTATCGGCAAAGTAATAATTGGTCTTTTCGTTTCATTTACGATTAATGTGAACCGTGCTTTATGAAGTAGAAGTTCTTTCCGTAGAGAAAGTAATGCAAGTGCTGCCATACAAACTAAAAAGAATAACACATACATATGTATGTATGTAGCTCTAATGCATGCATAAGAGCATTATTACATATTTATAATTTTTATTATGACTAAGGGCCCATTTGGGGCAGCTTATAAGAGCGGGTGCTTTTCTAAAAACGCTGAGGTACTGTTTGGATCACACATTTTGTCTGTTTATCTGAAAACGCGGCTCCATTTTTACACCAAACGCAAGCCGTGGGTTGATTCCCGCGGTCGACCCGCGGGCAGCGTTTCAGTATAAACTGCTTATCCTGAAACGTACAAGCTGGCCCAAACGAACATAAGACAATTAATTTATAACTTTTCTATATAAAATAAGATGGGAAGAAATAACCACAAAAAAAAAAACTTATAGATCTATGGTGGTGATGAAGGAGATTCGGTTGCCAGTTAGTGCATTTTACCAACAGATCTAATAATTTCAGAAATTCACACCCAAGCTCCTGAGCAGCCACCTCCACAAACGGCACGCCTTTAGACTTCAATCTTAACAGAATGAAGTTAAAGTCCATAAATTTTCAGAAGATGATCAGCAACATTGAATAAGAAGACAATAAATGCAAGTAGAAGCATATTGAGCAGGAAGAGGAGAGCATTCTAGAGAAACATTTAAGAAATTCTTGCAAAGTATGCTTCCAAAGATCTACAATTAAATAAGATTGATACAATTATAAATTAAATGAAAAGTCAACATTTTCATTTCTCGGAAACTTCTAATCATGAAACAGACAAATCAAATAATGTTAAAGTTTGAATGCTGTACATCAAAGTTCAATTATCTAGCAAGGCTGCTCATGTTAATTCCTGGCAACATCATCAGCATTATTGATGGGTAGGGCTGTCAAAAAGGCTCCTTGTTCGTGAATAGCTCGTGTTTGGCTCGTTAAGAAGCTCGTGTTTGGCTCGTTCGCTAAGCTAACGAGCTGAAAACGAATAATATTGTTCGTTCGTGTTCGACATATATATATATATA